TCGTCAATAGTTTTGTGCAGTGTTTCTCTTCGACGCTGCCGTTCATCTCGAACCATTTGTAACTTTTTGATATGTTTTTTTCGCCATTTCTTTTTTTTTTATTATTTTTTGATAAGTGTTGAGTTGAATACAAAAGGATTTAATTATCATAATATAAAGTTTAAGTAACCTTGTGGCGGTTGATCTTCGATAATCTTAATTGTAGATTGTCCACAAACTTTTGTTCTAATAAGGTTTGCATAATTGTATCTAAGCTTTTCTGTACTTCAAAAGAGGAAGATTTTAACTTATCATAAATATATACATACTAAAAATAGTAAATAATATACCTTTGCAGTCTCAGTTCTTGCGACTCTTTCCATCCATTCCTCGTGTTCTGCAGATTCTTGCACTTCCTTCAATTCTTCTATTTTAAACTCCAGGTTTTCTAACGAAAATTTTGCTTGGAGAAATTTGTCACGCGTATTTGTAATGCTAGGCAATGTTGCACGTTTTTGCTGTCCAAAGTTTTGCTCCATCCATGTCCAAGCATCTTCAAACATGTCCCAACTTTTAAAAAATAAAATAGTGTCACGAATTTGAAATTCGATTTAGGATACCTTTCTTGTGATTGGTTGGTCACTTTAAAGATCACGAGACAACTGACCAATCAAAATTTGTTATAAACCAAAATATGCAGTATCTTATTATTATGGCAAAACGATTAAAACCGGGTTTAACGTTAATATAAGAAAATAAAACCTGTTCCAAACTCTACATCGGATATTACACACGATGACTCTGGTAATAATTTATTTAAACGGGAAAATTAAGTTTCTTCAATACAATTATCGTTATAATCGCGCAATACCCAATAATCTAAAATGTAGACCACAAAGAATTAAATAGAACCTATCTATTTGCTTAAAAAAATAACAATAATAATAGAAAATTTATTAGTTTACACATAGTGTTTATACACGGGTATAATTTATTAAATTAGATTCGTATTACATGCTGCTTATGATTAGGGTAAGGATGGATTTGGGGTATAGTCTATACCAAAATTTCACAAGGAATTTTTTTTGTTAGAAGCCAAAAAGTGGTTTTATAATCAATATTTTGAGATATCTATATTACCCGTGTACAAATAGAATTCTCTTTTTTTTTTTTTTTATAAATGGATGTATATAATCATTAAATTTTATACTTGTATTTAAAAGATTTATATCGTAACCCTTTTATAAGCGCGTAATTTTAGCTTCTAAACTTGTGACTATATCAAGGTTAGTAAATTTAATTAAGAGAAATCTTAGGGTTATAATTCAAGCAGAGGTTGAAGAGACAAGTCCAAATTTATCGTATACACAAGTAAATTCATTCCGAAAAATTAAGTCACCTTAATAGTCATTAAAGATTATAAGAATTATAATGTGTAAAAATAGTATATGATATATTATAAAGAAAACTCGTCGATATATTAGTTTAATAAAATATAGAAATATAATTGGTATAATAAAGATAAGAATGAATTTGCTTCGACTATTATGACTGCTTCGACTATTATGACAAATTTGATCCATATAATTATGAAATAATAAAAAGAAATCACTAGAGATAAATGACAGTTGTCTTTTTAATAATCTGAAATATTTCATAATCTTCCACATAAAATTGTTCAAAATCAGCAATTTTTTTATCATAACTTTTCTGCCTACAAAAACTAGGAAGGGTAGCATTATTGGTAAAGTGAGCTGTAACCTTTACCCACAAATCACCGTCACCAAATGAAGGGCCATGCGTATTTCTAATTGCTTTACTAGGATTCAATACTCTGCTGACAATAGACTTATTCATATCTATCTTATTTAAAGAAAATATAAAACTAGAAAAAGACTCGGCCCATTTTGTATTGAAATCCCACGAAATAGGATTATATCCTCCCAGAATTTCATCCGCATCTCTAACTTTAATTATAGTAATAGTAGGGCCTTGATTATCACAATATTTATGAAACATATCATCTGACATACAACCGTGGCTGCCACGTATTAATAGTTTAAGATCATAAGGAAGTAGTTTTGGATTATTTCCATTATAAAATTTAGATGATTCAACACCGTCAATTTGACTCATTATCCAAGCAGCGTGAATATGATTAATATAAATTGATTGAATCTGTTGATTTCTTTTTGGAGAACGTAAAATTGGATGCGATGGATTAACATGAGGGGCTAAATGAAATTTAAGTAAATCATCGAATAATTCTGTTGGGAGAACACGTTGAAGTGGTAGGATCTTGTGATAAAAATCGCTCGAAGAAATTGCGGTAAAGTTAATAAAAGGAATAAATTGATGTAAAGTATCTTTTAAATTTTCAAATGATTCTTCTGACCATGTTTCATAATCAGGTTCGAGAGGAGGTGACGTATTGAACATTCCCCATTTAATAAGAGCATCCCAAATTTCAACTTCTGGCATGAATAAGTTACTACGTTCTAATAAAGTAGTTAACAAACTAATATCAATGTTTGCAAAATCATTGGCTTTAAATACTACATCCGGTTGTATTTGAATAGTTTTTAGACAAAATTCTTGAAGCTTCTTAAATGATTCATGAAGAAATGCTATTTTATGAATTAAAATAAAATTTTCTCGCATCCATTGTTTATGACGAGAAAAAAGGTGATTGGTTATGAAACTGGTTAGCTCAGCGAGACAAAGCTCGTCAGAGGCGATTAGAACTTCGAGGAGTGTAAGCATTCCAATTGCTGATAAATTAATAGTCGCACCATAAATATATCTTTGATAAAACCAAAAATTTTTCAAAATCAATAAAGAAATATTTACTCGTAAACCCCCTTCTTAACTTAATACTCACTTTAAAATAACATCAAATGCTTCTGGTGAAATATTTGGCTTATTGAATACTATATGATCCTTTCTAGCCCAATCACTCGATAATGCATAACGAAAATAGGCAGAGCGAGAACGTAAGATTACGGTATGGGCTTTGAAAGTTTTTGTATTGTCATCAGTACCAACAGTGATCAATACATTATACTCGTCAGCCACTTCAAGAAGTTGACACAAATCTTTCGATAATGTTTTTAACAATTCATTCATTGTCATTACAAAAAAATAGAAAGAGAGAGAATTCGTTGATTTGGAATTTTGAAGTACAAGCATAAACAATAAATAAAAGTTAGATAGAATCATGTGCTCATAATATTTGATCTTTATTTTTTATCTTTAAATTATAAACTTTTTGTAGCATGTATGGTTTAGTGAATTTGAAATTTACTAGGGATGACCCTTGACTGGCCGTTACACCCTGACTTGTTAGTGTGAGTACTATGTAATTTCCTTATTTCGATGTGCAACTTGAGGATAGGGAATGTCAAATAGTTGTCTGGTCTAGTTCTACAGTGCAGAACAACCTAGTCTCAACAAATTAAAATTTTAGTGGCCAAATTTAAAATTTAGTTTTTATATATATGGTATAGCCAAATTTGAAATTTTAACATAAAATGCTTTAATATTTAGTATATTTTAAGCGGCCAAATTGCTTGTTTAATTATAAAATTGACTTGATTTTAATTCTCTACTATATATTTTATTAAAATAAATTTAAAAAAGTTTTAAGACCATCAAGATGTTTAGCTTGCGTTGTTTCAATGTCTATGAAGAGATTTTTTGTTTATTATTTTTTGTGAACAAAGATTAGCATTTTTGAAGTTAAATTTATTTGTCGGGACTAGATTGTCTGCACTGTAGTTCAAACTGATGATTCAAGTATATCAAAGTAGTTCAAATGCTGGTATATAATAATATTTACAGTATTATATATTATCGTTATGTAATTTTTATACTATATACTGTCAGATTACAAATGACGGATAAAAGATTCCTACATCAAATCCACTATCTGCGAATTATGGAATCTGCATTAATAAATATCCAAACTGCCTGTTAGAAATGAAAAATACGTGTGCTCTCTAAAATTTTCCTTTTAGTGATATACACTCTCAACCATGTACTATACCCGGGGTTTATTATATCAGTGGAATGTAAGAGACCCGGGTTTTTTATCCGGCCATTTACGGTAGTTACGAACCACTATTTTAGATCGGAGCGCAGTAGTTTTCAGAGATTAAGACCGGAGTACCTCCAAACTAGGGTTCGTAGAACGACTTAGCATCTCTATTGAAGAGAGCTAACAATTAATTTAACCGAGTGTGAACCATAATCTTATTTTTAAAAAATACTCGACTAAAATATTAACTTTAAATCCCGTGTCTTATGTAAAATAACGTCCTAGGACGTTATTTCGGTATTACTGTATACATAATAGACTTTAGTTTTAGGGCTTAAAATTTCATTAATAATGCGACTCTAAACAACTCAACTTTTCTTTTTAAAAATTAAAATTCACCAATTCAAAATTTAATGCATGACTTCCACTAAAAATCAGAACGGAATTTGTAAATCATGATCATACGACCAGGAAAATGGACGCCAGGAAACGGACACCGTTAGATGTCCTAAGCAAAAGACTACTGACTAAACACATGCAAATCGATAATTGTCCAATCTAAAAATAGATGTGAAGACAATGTCTAGTCTGATATATTTGTGATTTTAAGTTAACGCTACAATTTCCTAACATTAACATAATACAATTACGTATCGATATTTTATTGTTTATCCTTGTGTTATCTTCTGAGGATCACATGTCTGGCGCCAAGCTTGCAGTGTGTTATATCGGTTGAAAATCGCATATTTTTTATACGTACGTACGTACGTACGTATCTTTTACATTGTTAGAACTAAATTCCTCAAATACTACATATTGTGAGCGATCCCGAAGCTGCGCGTGACGTGATAATACTAACAGGAGCGACCGTCAAGGTTACACAAGCTGCCGATAACCTCCGGCCATCAGTCAGCCAATCAAAATTTCAAGGG